CTCAGAATAGGGATTTTCTTGAAACGGTTCAGGGCTGTTTCCAAAGTCAACATATAACCGAACCCACCCAAGGTAATAATATACTTGATTTAGTTCTGCCAAACAGAAAAAACTTCATAAATAATGTTGAGGTAGGGAACAAACTAGCTAACAGTGATCACAAAGGAGAGATTCAATTTTGAATTTAATGGCAGTCGCAAGAATAATTCCATTAAAGTCCCAGAATTCAGAAGGGCAAACTTTGATAGTTTGAAAAGGCAGCTGAGAGAAGGGGTATTACATTTGGGGGTGATTTACATGACATCACACAAGTACCCACAGAGGGCGACCTCACTTTACCTGGTGAACTGACAACGATAACCTCACAAAATATGACGGTTGAGGATGACCTGATCACGAGATCTGAGGCTGACGAGTTCCACAAGGCAGAACATAAACAAAAAACTCAGATCAAACAACAATGACCCCAAATGGAGATAAATAATTATTTAAAGAATATTATTAGCCAAAGGAAGGCTATAGGTAGGAGAATAAATCGTGGTGAAGTTTACCTCAGAGATTATTATAAGGTATTGGCTAGTAGGGTTAAGACCAAGATAAGAAAAGCAAAAAGGAATAATGAACTGAAGGGAGGCGAAGTCAAACCCCAAGGAATTCTATCAAATGTATCAAACTAAAACACGAGAAAAGATTGGACCAATACAGTCAAGTTACCGGCGAGCTAACGGATAATGACAGAGAAATGAAGAATAATCTGAACAGATATTTTTCAACAGTTTTCATCACCAAAAATTTAAACATGATAACCGAGGCACCGACTATATACAGAGATAGTGAAGAAAATAAATTAAGCGAGATAGTAGTGACTAGTAACTATGTTAGTATGCAAATAGAAAAGTAAAGCCTAGTAAGTCACCAGGTCCCGATAGATAATTGCCAGAGCTTAGTATGCCATTAGCAAAATTGCTTAACGTCATTAAAAACGGGTGTAGTACCGGAATCCTGGAGCACAGCGAATGTGATACCGATTTTCAAGGAGAGAGATAGACCACTATCCTCTAACTGCCATCCAATCAGTTTAAAATCAATTTTAGACAAATTGCTGGAAGCAATAATTTCAAACTCTATTCGACATCACCTGGAGAAGCACAAGCTGATCAATGATTCCCAACACGGCTTTACAAGTGGGCGTTCATATCTGACAAATCTATTAACATTCTTTTCATCGGTTTTCGATAAGTGGACGACGGGCACGATTCTGATGTGGTATATCTGGACTTTAACAAAGCCTTTGACAGATTCCCCCACGAAAGAGTAATACGAAAAGTGGAGGCTGATGGCATTGGAGGAGATATTCTAAAATGGATTAGAGTGTGGTTACAGAACAGGAATCAGCTAGTAAGCATAAATGGCACTAAATCCGATTGGGGTAGCGTCACTAGTGGAGTACCTCAAGGTTCAGTACTTGGACCATCATTATTTATTATATGCATAAACGACATAGATACGGGCGTAGACAACAACACCACGACCTCATCTGCAAATTTGGTAAGAAGCTTCTGCACCATCCTCGACACCGGCTCCTACTACCACCTGAGATCCTTAGCCCGAGAATTGCTCTTCGACACCACAACCGCATCCAGCCCATACGTGCACGAACTGATCACTATAAGAACAGCCCAGTCCCAACCATTGTAAAAATTATCAATAACTTGTAATAAACCAGTGTATTCACTCCCAGTAAATACTACTACTTGCACTGTCACTATGTTGAAATGCCCTGTAGTTTGAGCTTTTCCCTATCTAGTTATTATATATCTTATTTATATCACTTACGTTATTTATATATTATTTATAATTCGAAACCCATTCCCCAATTATGTAACTGTATATTTTCAGCCTTCTGGCTGCCAAGCTCTTTCAATAAACCGTTAATTATTATTATTAAGTTAATTTGCTGGTGACACTAAAATAGGCCGTGTAATTAAATCTGACGAGGACTCCACAAATTTTTTTTTAATGGTCTGAAAAATAGTAGATGAAATTTTATGTGGACAAATGTAAAGTACTTAGTCTGGGAGATGTAAACAAAGAAACCAGATATCAGATGAACAACGTTATCATAGAGAAATCCCACTGTGAATAAGATTTAGGAATAATGATTAGGTAGGAATCTTAAACCTCTGCTGACGCTTTTTAGGAAAGTCCATGAAGTAGTAGATAATGACGAAAATTACGATGTTATTTACTTAGACTTTAGCAAAGCATTTGATAGAGTACCGCATCAGAGGCTTCTGAGAAAAGTTAGGGCTCCTGGTACCGAGGGGAAAATTTTAAACTGGATAAAATCATGGCTCACCGATAGAACACAGATGGTCTTAAATCTGAGTGGGGCTGTGTAACTAGTGGGGTTCCCCAGGGGTCAGTACTGGGCCCACTCTTGCTCATAATCTACATAAACGATCTAGATACTGGGATCAGCAGTGACATAAGCAAGTTTGACACCAAAATAGGGTGGCAGATTAATTCAGGGCAGGATGCAAATGCACTACAAGAGGACTTAAAGGAACTGCAAGAGTGGTCAGAAAAATGGCAAATGAAATTCAACACCAGTAAATACAGCGCACTTAATAATGAAATAACAAATACTGTCAATGTATACAGCCTTAACAACATCAACCTAGAGAAGTCGACTTGTGAAAGAGACTTATGGGTACTTGTAAGCCTAGAAAACAGTGCGTTAATGTTCAAAATGAGGCAAACAGAGTATTAGGTTTTTATATTTAGATGTTTAAGTAATAAGAGTGCGGAGGTCATATTGCAATTATATCTTACGCTTGTCAGGCCGCACCTCGATTATACTGTCCAGTTCTGGTGCCCTTATTAGAGAATGGATTATCAATTCACTGGAGTCGGTGCAGTGAAGAATGACGAAAATGATTCCGGGACTTGGAAACCTTCCATATCAAGATAGATTAAAGAAACTAAACTTGCATTCCCTGGAAAGACGAAGAGTGCCGGGAGATATAATAGAAGTATTTAAGTGGGTGAAAGGAATCAATAAAGGAGATATAGATAAAGTTCTTATAATATCCGAGCAGGATAGGACTCGTAGCAACGGATTTAAGTTGGATAAGTTTAGGTTTAGGAGGGAGATAGGAAGAAACTGGTTCATAAATAGAGTGGTAGACGAGTGGAACAAGCTTAGCAACTTTGTACTGTAGTACGTGCTGGGGCGCTGGAAAGTTTAAAAAGAAGGCTAGATAGATTCATGGACGATAGAGACTGGTTGTAACTCTCGACAGGAGCTGCCATGCACAGGCCAACCGGCCTATTGCAGACTCCATATTTTATTTTCAATGTTCTTATGTTCTTTTATCTTTTGCTTGTGAAACCTCACTTGGATTATGCAGTTCAGTTCTGGGCACCGTACTACAGAATGGATGTCGAATCCCTAGAAAGAATTTAGAGGAGAATGACCAGACTAATACCGGGCATTAGGAACCTTGAGTACAGAGAAAGGTTAAAGCATCTCAATTTGCACTCTCTTGAGAGACAGAGTGAGCAGCGATATGATCGAGGTGTATAAATGGAAGGCATGGCTAAACAGAGGTGATATAACAAAGGTACTCAAACTATCCAGCCAGGAGTGAACTCGTAGCAATGGTTTTAAATTAGACAAATTTTGATTTCGGCGCTAGATAGGTAAACATTGGTTTGGAAATAGAGTAGTGGATGAGTGGAACAAGTTACCAAACATCATCATTAACTCGAATACGCTGGATAGCTTCAAACATAGGTTGGAAGGATATATGAGCGATAGGGGTTGGGTGTGAATTGGACAGCCCAATATGGACCAATAGGCCCACTGCAGCTTCCTCCATTCTTTTGTTCTTATGTTGTGTACTGTACTTTATTACCTTTAAAGTAATCCTCGCCACACCAGATCTGTGAATGGTGAATCATATACATAATCACAATCACTGGAAAAATCCTTTTTTTTTACATCAAAATTATTTCGCCATTATTTCCAGGCACTCGTATGTCTGCTGCTTCCTCCCAATTATCCCACTTAAATTATTTTCAAGTTCCCTCTACAGTCACTAGAATCAATATGAACTCTTAACTATATGCACACTACACTCTGATCGTCCCGTGGATGGTCAACCACAGCCATGGATATAATTAATTGAAATTTTTTGTTTATAATATAACCCAATAATGTACTTATCACATTTTATCGAACTGTGTACAAAACTTAATTTTAGAAGAAGGTGCATGTCAGGTCTCTTGGTCCAAAGTGTCTTTTTTTTTTTTTTACTTATTATGGGCATTCTATTAGCTTTAGGTATGGAATAGTTTGTTGTGTGTATTAAAATGCACTAATAAGGATGATATATTCAGTAATTAAAGAACGTTCTAAGACAGTAAACTATCGGATACTTTACTTTGCTAGAATTTACAGTGAAAATAAACTCATTGAAGATGAAGTACACTGCCTAGCTAGGTTTCATAGACAGTACGCGGTCTGAGATTGTTGGAGAATGATTATTTTTTCATCTGCTCACATTTTATAGCAATCAATCAACATTTGGGGATGGTTCTTACCACAGAGTGACCTTCATCGATGACGTCTGTTATCGAACCTAACCGGCAATTTCACAGTAGTAATTTTTTTTTTTTTTAATTTGAAAAGAATCAATCAAAGGAGATTGAAGTTAGTGCACTGAAACTGAAATAAACCAAAGCCAACAAACGACTATATAATGTACATGTAGGTATAATACGTGGTTTACAGTTAAACGAACATCACAAACATATACAGTAAAGAGTATCGGAAGACATCCATCTACTAAGTAATGATTACCAGTATATCAAGGTTATATGAACTCTGGAATAACCACAGTTCAACACCTCAATACCCATCCAAAAACACCCAACAGTAATTAGCTCATTGTAAACAATGTCATCAAGGATCATCTCTGTTGCAAGTGACTCACCAACTTCGTTCTTGTAGAAGACATTGTGCCCGATTTCGAGCCAATGTTGATTCTCTCGCTTCTTACGCTGGGCCTTGGGCGTGACGGGCAGTACTGGGGGATCATACCAGGTCTGCTCCTTCTTTTTCTCCTCCGCTGCGCGTTCCAACTCCTCCTGACGCTGCCTTGACGTCACGTAGCTGTAAACACATTATACACAATCAACGTATAAGATAAGAATCTGCAATCTGGTTCCTACTCGGCTACAAACAGCATTCTCGTGAAATCATATGTTAAAAAATTACAGCAACTGGTAAAGAGGGAAATCGCCAATTGTGAGTCTTGATACAATTTTGACGAAAATATGGCCACTATCTTTTTGATTTAGCTTAAATGAACCGATGTGTTCTCACATCAACTATTGACAAGAAAATCAACACACTAATCTAAAAACTCTGGCCCAGACAACAACACTCCTTCTTGGGAAGTATACAGTATTGCAAAAGAAGTACAGTACTGTACAGTATCTGGAATCTGGTATGACTTCCAGAGAACTACTGTACAGTACTTCTAACGTGGATATTAACACTCTTTATAAGAATGGAATACTGTACGAGAAAGTCAACAGGATATATTTACAATAAAAAGAAAATGAAAAGAAATTACACAATGAAAGTGAGAAAATAAACGGCAGAAAAAGGGAAAATGCAAGACAAAACAAAAAAGAAAAACATCATATAGGAAAAAAGTAGAATATTAACATTATAAGACAAAGGGCATAATGATATTAAACAAATAGCAAATAAAATAGGAGCATAAAATCACATTAAAGGTAATTAATTCAACGAACCTTTCCTAATAGACCCTAATTTAACCTAACCAATAAGACTTAGAGGCCATAAGAACTTGGGGGCCTATTAGGATTAGCTCATATTGAAGCACATAGGGACTAGGGCTCATTAGGTCTGTTTACTTGGGAGTTCATTAAGGTTGGGGCCCATGTGACCGATCTCAATAAAATGAAACAATTGAAGAGGTGAATAATTGTACACGAAACAAAGGTATTGATTAAAAAAAATGAAGCGAGAAATAAAACAAATATAAATAAGATCACAAGAAAGAAATGAGGGAATATCTTAATAAAGATAATGGGAACAACAATTCGAGATTATAACATTACAATTAAGGGAATTTTAAGGTAACAAAAAGAAAGTGAATATAAATTGACAACAGAGATAGGGTAGAACACGATGATGATAATAATAAAATAATAGAATACAATAATAACAAACAGAGGGAACAGCAAGTTAACACACAGGGAGAATACAACATAATAACATAAAGGTGGAGAACAAGATAACACAATGGAAGGATACATGATAACACAAAGGAAGAATACAGCATAAGAAAACATAAAACAAGAGAATACTCTACAATGACAACAAAAATAAATGGAATAACAAGCTAAAAGAAAGTTATAATGTAAAATAAAACAAAACAAGACGATGATATAAAATACACAAAGACTATACTGGGATACAATAAAGGAAGAGAATAACACCCTGAATAATATATATGTAGATCGATGAAAGGCAAGGAATGCGATATCCTGTCTCCCCATTTATGTCTGCCTGAGGCACAGACAGGCTCATGAAATGGTTTCAAACTTAAGCCCAAAAGTTGATCGTAAGGACTGTTAACATTGTAACCCGGTACTCTCTTTAAATATTTGCCAGTAAAGGCGACGTAAACTGCACATCAAAAGACGTTTGATAGGAAATTCAGCGAGAAAAAGTAAATTATATCCAAATGTCAAACTTCAGGCAAAGAACACTATTCTTAAGTTAGGGAGATTCCAAATACAGTACAGTATGCAGAAAATGGGCAATGGCGAGTTTATGTCTGCAGGAAATAAAGACCTAACTTACGTAGAAATAGAACAAAACAATTCCAGTATCCACAATAATGGTCACCAGACCCTAAAGCCCTCGAGATGCCTGATCATAAAGTTAATATTTTAAATTCTAGTTACTGTACAGTATATCACTTGAGGTGACGACTTGTGCATATCATCATCCCTGTGTAACCCAAAAGTCCCCCGTTGGCATGAAATGACTTCCGTAGATGCAGTTGACAAAATGATGAAAGATGATAATTCTAATCTTCTGTCGTAATGAGCATCGATATGACAATGAAAATGTGTTTTCAGTCCGGTGAGAGGAAACTTTAATATCAGAAAATATCATAAAACACTGTAATAAAACACTATCAGTAACCTAAATACTGTACCTCGAAACCTCAATTGTATTCCTAAATGCGGTACAGGAACACCCTAGAGGACGTCCACGCTCTAGGTATTGCAGTTATAAGCTAGAGAATACAAAACTACATACTATATAATAACCCGTATCTTTACATACTGTTTTCAAAATTCGGCTGAATTCATTTTAATTTATTACTTTTAATGAGGCTGTCAAGCACTTCAGGTGATTTAGGGGATTTTTTTTTATACAAGCATTAAAATAGCGCGTGATGTCTGAAATAAGTCAGATATATACAGTATATATAACCATTAGTTTCCATCGATTCACAACATTACAACCAATAAAATATCCTTGTACAAAACACAATAATTCGTTGATCTTTTAAGGTAACAATGTATTATTGTGTATACATTTTATATATATATATATATATATATATATATATATATATATATATATATATATATATATATATATATATATATATATATATATATATACAGTTTGACAACCCCTTATCCGAAATTCCGAAAACCGAAAAGCTCTGAAAACCGAATTTTTTTGGGGAGCAATTATTATTATTTTTTTTTTTATGGGTATTAGCCCACCCGGGCACATGTCACTGACCCACATCGGGGCCTGGGGGGTGAAAATGTAATAGTAATAATAATTATAATAATACAGGTAATAATAATAATGATAATACAGTAATAATAATAATTATTCATAGTAAATAAAATTTTTAATAAAAAATACACAAAATAAAATAAGAATGATAACAATAATAATAATAATAATAATAATAATAATAATAATAATACTGTAATAATGAAATAATAATAATAATAATAAAGAAATAAAAGAATGAAAAAAAGATCAAAAGTGAGAAACATGACCTAGACCTATGAATTATTATTATTATTATTATTATTATTATTATTATTAGCCCCCAAGCCCCAATGTGAGTCAGTGACCTGCTGTGCCCAGGTGGGCTGATCCCTGTATATGTGTGTATATATATATATATATATATATATATATATATATATATATATATATATATATATATATATATATATATATATATATATATATATATATATATATATATATATATATGTATATATATATATATATATATAATACAAGCCGAACCGCGATAATTTCTGACTAATTCAATGGGCAAGAAAATGTGAATACAGTACAGTACAGTACAGTACAGGTAAATAGTGTTTATTATTTGCATCGGTCTTTAATTTTTTCTACAATTTCCACTTGACTTTTCATGCGCAAACAAGCCTGAAGTAAGAATAAGTAATTACTCGCTGAACTTGGAAAATATGATTTTAAATGTTTTAAATGGTGACAAAAGTATTTTTTCCATTTTTTTTACCATATTAAGTGATCATCTGAATGAATATTATGAATGTAAATTATCGAGGTTCTATTACACACAGTGCCTGATAATCGTGAATGCTGACCCGTCTTGAGCCTGTTTGTGGCCCAGGTGTTCGACTCACCGGGCGGAGAAGGACCTGTTGAGGCTGGTCATGGAGGTGTTGGGTGGGTAAATAGCCGTCTTCGCCGACTGGGCACTTTTGACTGACCCATACACCTGGTTGTCTAGCAGATGACATGATGATGAACAGGTCGCGCAACACTCATTCATATTCTGAGTCATGGCTCCATTACAGTCTAAGTTAATGGTGGAACTGGAGCCCACACCCATTATGGTGCCACTTGAGCCGAGACTCATAGGGCCATGAGAACTATAGCTGATGGGAGCCGGGTAGCCGAGGCTGAGGGAGCCACTGGAGATCATGTTGATGGTGGTGTTGGAGCCATGTCCTGAGCTGAGCGAGTGTCGGCTGAATCTAAGAGTCGACGGTTCGCATAAATCCAAGCTACCGTCTACGTTTTGTTCTGTGCTGATCCTGGGGGGTGATAGAGAAGTGGGGGAGGACAACAGGGAACGGGGAAGGATACGGAAGAGACGAAGGAATTGGTGTTAGTATCATTGCAATTCAACTCAGAAGTCATGTGAGTGCATTCCTTTTGCAGTTACAGTATAAGCTACAAAACTACTATTATTTTATTACTAATATCTTACTGATTAGTACACTATATGCTGATGATCTTTTAATACTAATCCCTAATCTATTATTAAGGTTTTATGGTTTATGATTTAACTTGAAGGCCACATTATTTAACATCTTACGATACACCATTAAATACAGTATTAAAAGAAATTTACCGTAAAAAAAAAGAAATTTGCCCGAATTAGCATGTCAATTTTGTAACTGTGTTCAACTTTCTTTTTTCATGGTTATGATACAAACGATATGTCCCGTATTCTACATAAGTGCCCAAAAATATAGGTTCGTGCAAAATGTTGAAGCTTTATCTAAAAACAGTATCACCATAAGCATCAACTGCAAGGTTAGTATTCAGTAACACTACATTAGGCTTCATTATTAAGTTCTTCAGCCAACTGATTAATCTACTATACTGTACATGCACTAAATATAACAGATCACCAGTTTTAGAAGTAAAAACTTTGCAAAGCAAGTTTCCAAATGGAACAGTACCTATGCTGTTCCAAGTCTTATTTTGAATTGTTGGAATACCTGCAATAATGACAAAGATTGTGCTTAGAGAGGCAGTTCCGGCTGTTTACATACAGATGAAAGAAGCTTGGATAGTGATGTAATGGTGTTTATGACGGTTTGAATATACATTAACTACACAAGACCCAGAATCACTTAAGCAAATGCTGCACGGATATATTTATTAGTGCTAAAATACTTCTCCATTTCTTAAACTCTGTATTAAGCAGCAAGAAATGTAAGGCTTATCGTAAGATTATCAGTTCAATGCTTCGGCATGTTGAGAAAGGAACAGGTTGCTAGCCATATCATTAAAGACAAAGAGGTGATCCGTCATATACGTCCAATACATTAAACAAAACTATGCACGCGATTTTTGTTCTAACAGACAGTTCATGTAGCTTCTCATTAGTCAGCTTCAGCTATTTTACAGTTTACTTGCTTTTTAATTGCAAGCCATTAACTGGTGGTACTTACTTGATGATTCTGGAGGGGGAGGCGAAGATGCCGTGTTGTGACCTGCAGGTGAAGTATCTTGTGCCGTTGACGGAGCCGTCATTGGTGCCACGAGGCACGTCCAACTCCACACCCACCCAGAAGCTGGAGGCGAAGTGCACACCTCCTGTATACCTCACGACACCTGTAACCACCCGCGTCGACCCGCTCCCCATCCCCATGTCCACGTACACGCGGTCACCCACCACGATCTTGCGGGTTGTGTTGTGTATATCTGTCGGTACAGCAACCTTAAGTAATGTCACACAGGTTATCAATCTCAACCTTTGCCGAGGTGTAAAAATAACAATTACAAAATGACAATCATTATAAAAATTTTAAGTGTATTACAGTACTCAAGACTGGTGAACTCGTGTGTAATTTTAAAATTATTTTCTACAATATCTCTGAATCAAACATTTCTATCAGCTTGAAGATTTGATTTTTATTGCATCAGTGGTCTGTGGCCGAGTGACTCCTAATTATAGACAGGAGACGAGGACGAGGACAAGGAAAACATGATAACAAGTAACAAAGAACAGACCAAATGCCAGAACGGCTAGTAAGGTGATATGTGGTAAAATGTTGAAATAAAATAGCAATTAAGTCTTACCCTGAGCCACTCGGGACGACACCCTCGAGACGTCAACGCGGCCATGGTTGACGCGCCCCGGGGGAAGGGAGACAGAACGACGAGACATGGTTTTGGCCCTCTGTCGCTGAGACACAGACGTGGAGCGACCCTGACGACCACCGTTAACGTGGGGGATCTTTGTCAGGCGATTCACAGGCACGAAGATACCTGCAGGCGACATACAAGAAGAGGTAACAGATAAAAGTATTATCAGAAAATAAAAGTTTTTCTTACACAACGTGTAGACGAAATATGATTAGGTTATTAATCTGTAGGAGATCATTAATGCTTCTCTTTTAAATACTTCATCATTATTTGACATTTTTCCCTATATACCCAGAGTTAAGTAAATAAAGAACTAGATTGAAGTGTTCTGAACACCCACGCATATTAGAGCTGAAGATGTGTCAGTTAAGAAAATTGAGAGAGAACACTCAAAGATGGAAGCACAAAATAAATATATAACAAAATTAAATTCATATGGATTATATTTATCCTATACAGCACACTTTATTTGATAAAAAAAAACATGACAGGCAGACACTGACTGACCATAATTCTTGGCGCAGCGGAAGTACATGACGCCCTTGACAGTGCCGTTGTGGCGACCTGTGGGTGTCTCCAATTCCACCCCCGCCCACAGCCCCGTCGCGAACTCCGTCGTACCCACGAACCTACACACGTCAATAACAATCAATATTCTACACATCAAAGTAAAATATCAAGTAATCTTGCGAATGCATTCTGAAAACATGCTTATTCACATGTCATAATTAAAAAGGTTAAGAATAAAAATATAGTAATACCCCACCCAAAGCTGTTTTGCTAAAGAGCTCTTGATCCTGGAGACCATTAAACCTTGTTCTCTCTTATACAACTTATTTTCGGACAATATTTTGAACACCTTACATTTAAATGTTGGGGAAATGGTGTGCGAGCGATAATGCTGGGAAGAGTCCAAAGTGTCAAGAAAAAGGACTACATGGATGGAAGCAAGTGAGGGTAAGGTTGCCGTGGGTAATTTATTAGGTAAATCTTTGAACTTGGCTACATCGACAATTAAGATAATATTGAAGAATGCAGACAAGACGAAGCTTCTGCCAAAGCCACTAGTCTATTAAACAAATACGTTAATTATATAAAAATGTGTTTACCAGTTACTAAATAAAACATTCACCTTGTCGCACATGAACAAGTGTAATGACTTTAGGAATAAATTTCCATATAGTACATCATGTTATAAGACCTCTTTTTGGGCTGATACAGTTAACACTCTCTTCTCCAGGAACACACCCAAAGTGCTCTGTGGGGGTATTACTGTACCCAACATTATTTCAAAAGTAACAAACTTATCTGGTTGGCTAGATTTACCGTTATCAATTCTCGCTGAGAATGTAATGATGTAATGGCGGAATTTATACCAGCAGGCCTCGAATTATTCGTTTACTTATTTTGAAGTACATAAATAAGATTAGTGCTTAAATTATGATAAAAAGCCTTAAAAATGAACATGTGGTACGTAGAGATAAAGAAATAAAAAGATGAAAATAAAGTATTATTGTTAATAACGCAAGGGTCGTCACCTGAGGGTGCCTGTCTTGACCCCACTAATCAGGACGCGGTCACAAAGTTTGAGTCCCATTGCCTTGAGCACTGCCTTGCCTGATGACCCCTGGCTGCTGCTGTTGTGGGCGGTGTAGGCGTGGGCGGCCATGTGCACGTGGGAGGCCGTGGGAGAGAGGCAGGAGCGCAACTTAGCGATGACATCCTGCACATCTGGGACCAACTCGTACTGGTCCGGGGTTGGAATGCACTCTGGCGGCAACATAAGTTTAGCTTCCCATTAAATCTGCCACTTACATTCATGAGAACTTATATATATATATATATATATATATATATATATATATATATATATATATATATATATATATATATATATATATATATATATATATATATATATATATATATATATATATATATATATATATATATATATATATATATATATATATATATATATATATATATATATATATATATATATATATATATACTTTTTTTTTTTACAGGATTAGCCCACCTGGGCACAGGTCACTGGCCCACATCGGGGCCTGGGGGGCGAAAATGTAATAATAATAATAATATGAATTCGTTCAAAACAAATAAAGCTTATAATAAATACAAAAAGTAAAAATAAAAATAAAATAGTAATAGTAATAGTAATAGTAATAATAGTAATAATAGTAATAATAATAATAGTAATAATAATAATAGTAATAATAGTAGTGATAATAGTAGTAATAATAGTAGTAATAATAGTAGTAATAATAGTAGTAATAATAATAGTAGTAGTAATAATAATAGTAATAATAGTAATAATAGTAGTAATAATAGTAGTAATAATAGTAGTAATAATAATAATAATAATAATAATAATAATAATAATAATAATAATAATAATAAAAAAGAACCATAAAGAAATAAAAAATAAACAAAGATAAAAAGTGAGAAACAATATAAGTATGTTGTGTTGTCAATAATAAGTGAAACAATTGAAACCCTGCAATTGTGTGTAAATGAGGCAGAAAGTTAGATCAGCAACCTGGGATTTGGTCACAATTTTTGTGATGCCATATGGCAGCAGGGTCTACCATTAGACAACACATTATGCTTCCAATATCTTCCCAGGTAGTACCTCCTGTTTGGTAGCTGCCTACTACCGCTGAGCGTTAAATTCTATAAGAAGATTAATATACTAATATGACTTTTAACCTAATATTATCAAATAAGCAAATGTTGGATAGTAGGCACTAGGACAGCAATCAAACGAGGACGTACTACCGCCTGAAAGATGTTGGAAAAACATAATGTTGTCTAATAGTGAAACTGCTACTGTATCTAGAAATTATGATCAAATTATTTATGGTCTCATTACACACAATTACAGAGATATAATTGTTTCTCTTACTTTGACAACACCAACTGCTATCTTTCTATCTTGATGCGTTTTATTTTTCTATTTATTTCTATGTCAGTTGATATTAATACTGAAGCGGGGCCTTCTCGGATGGGTCCCACTGGTCGGGAAGGTTGTGGACCCCAGGGCCGACCTGATCATCATCAAGCTACTGGGGCCTCAACTGACGCCACTACGGTTGCTGGAGGATCGGCTTTTTTCACACTTCATTTTTCCAACATTCGCGGACTGAGATCCAATTTTTCTTCTGTGGAGCACCATCTATTAACCTCTTCCCCCGATCTCTTACTACTCTCCGAACTTCAACTGACCAAAGCAGCTTCACCCAAACCTTTTCAAGTCTCTAACTACAACCTTTATACCTACTTCCGTTCTAAGGGAGGTGTATGCGCCTACTGCAACACACGTACACCTATAGCCCGACTCACGGATCTTGAATCTTCCCTTTATGATGTCATCTGGCTCAAAATATCTCTACCAACTATGACTATTTTTCTTTGTTTCCTATACTGTTCTCCCAACTCTACCAACTATTTCGAACTCTTTGACTATCTCACTTCTTGCCATGAGTCGTTGCTATCCTCACACCCCAACACCGAGATCCTCTTCCTAGGGGATTTCAATGTACAGTCAGCCAAAGATGCACCGACCCCACCCTGGGTCTCTTACTCGCAATTTTACCTGGCAATACTTGGTAAAGGAAGGCTGTATGTAAAGGTGATTGTGATTGGTGGATCTATTTTCGGCTGTATCACTGTCAGGATAAATATTAAACAAACCAAAGGTAGAATTTTTATAATAAACTATTCATTGTTATTTAAGGTCATGAGAAGTTTCCAAATGTTCGTATATTTGCTTTTTTCGGGATCCCCCAGGGCAAAGGTCACTGACCACATCGGGGCCTGGGGGCGAAAATGTAACTACTACTACTAATAATAATAATAACTTTTTTTTTTTTTTTACGTGGCCTCCAGCCTCCCCTAATAGCCACACCTTCGCCACCATTTATTTACCTTAATATTAAATATCCTACTACTACTACTACTACTACTACTACTACTAATAATAATAATAATAATAATATATAATAATAATGACTTGGCAACTGAACTACAATCACAGCTGCCACGAGATTCTCAGGTGCAGTTGAAGGTATTTTTTTCTTACTTAATGATCTGAAACAAATAATTAAACATCCTACACGTGTTCCAGATCGACACGACCAACTGGCTAACAGTCTTGATCTTTGTTTTACTTCTACAGTAACTATTCTTATTCAATTTCCGCGCCCTTAGGGTCTTCTGATCACAAACTTATTTCCATGAAATCAAACTGGGCACGACCACCTCCCCCACTCCCTTCTAAACGCCAACTATGGCACTATCGGAGGGCACACTGACAATCCTTGAGAGAATTCTTCTCCAACTTTCCCTATGACGAATGTTGGTTTTCCACTCGGGACGCCTCGGTATGTGCTGACAGCACTGCTGGGGTTATGCAGGGTGGTATGAGTGCATTTATCCCATCTTATACGAAAACTTTCACTTTACAATCATGGTTTGATCGCTCCTGTTCTCTTGCACGTAAGGACAGAGATAAGGCGTATCAAGCTATGAAACTATCTCCTCCTCCTCTTACTCACCTCTTTCATTACATCTAGGAATCATTGTAAGGAACAAGCGGAATCTTATTAAAAAAATTAAAGAAAAAAGACCGCTGACCTGACTAACCGTTCTTCTGGTAAACCCTTCTGGTCCTTAACCAAAAACATCTGTAATAACTTTTGCACTCCCTCTTTTCCAACTCCCCCTCCGATAAAGCCAATATCTTTGGCACCTTATTTCCCTCTAACTCCACCTTAAATGATTCCAACCCTAACCCCCCTACACCTACTCCTCCTACTGAACCTATGTACTTTCTTATAATCTCCACTCGTAGGGTTGCTGGTGTGTTATCCAATCTGGATGTGAGCAAGGCGCATGGACCAGACCGTATACCCCCTGTGCTTGTTCGCCTCTTTCGCCTTTGCCCCAAAACACAAACTTTTCCTTCTTGGAAGCATGCCTCGGTTCAGCACATCTCGAAGAAGGGTGGCCATTCTAATCCCTCTAACTATCGTCCCTTTGCCCAATCTTCACCCCTCTCTAAGATTTTCGAAACTATCTTAAACTCTCATTTTCTCCGTCACCTTGAACGTCTTTCTCTTTTGTCGGATCACAAATATGGCTCCGGCAGGCGAGATCTGCTCTCCTACTGCACCCATCTTAGGTCACCCTCTCTTAGGGATTTTGGGGAATCCTTTGTAATGGCCCTCGACATCTCCAAAGCATTTGACAGGGTATGGCATAAGTCTTTCTTTCTAAACTTCCCTCTTATGGTTTCTCTCCTCCACTTTGTTCTCTCTTTTCTAGCTTCCTTGAGAACCTATCCATGGCCATTGTTGTCGAGGGATCGATAGCGTTTTCTTTCTCTACCAATAGCGGTTTTCCACAAGGTTCTGTTCTTTCACCTACTCTCTTCCTTCTTTTTATCAATAATTCACTTCACACTACGAATAATTCTATTTCTCTTACGCTGACGATTCTACTCTTCACTCTTCTCATTTTCCCCTTCCCCCTAACTCTCAAACTAGATCTGTTTCTAGAGTTGATATCGTTTCTTCTATCAATGCGGATGTGTGCAGCATCTCTGAATGAAGAGGTTGAAACTTGGTTAAATTCAATAGTAATAAAACACAGTATTTACCAATATACTTTCTAAAATAGAAGATATCCTCACCAATCACATTTCAGGACCCAACCATTTTGCCAAATTCTAAAACAGATATGCTAGGCCTCACCATTCCCTCTAATGTGTCATGGAAGCCACACGAAAGTTGGGGACGTTGTACAGGTTTATAAGGGATTCATTCGTCTTGACTTGGAGTACTGTCAATGTATACAGCCTTAACAACATCAACCTAGAGAAGTCGACTTGTGAAAGAGACCTAGGGGTACTTGTAAGCCCGGACCTACGGCCTAGAAAACAGTGCGTTAATGTTCGAAATAAGGCAAACAGAGTATTAGGTTTTATATTTAGAAGTGTAAGTAATAAGAGTGCGGAGGTCATATTGCAACTATATCTTGCTCTAGTCAGGCTGCACCTCGATTATGCCGTTCAGCTCTGGTGCCCTTATTATAGAATGTATATCAATTCACTGGAGTCGGTGCAGCGACGAACGACGAAAATGATTCCGGGACTTAGAAACCTTCCATATCAAGATAGATAAAATAAACTAAACTTGCATTTCCTAGAAAGACGAAGAGTGCGGGGAGATATGATGGAAGTATTTAAGTGGGTGAAAGGAATCAATAAAGTAGATATAGATAAAGTTCTTATAATATCCGAGCAGAATAGGACTCGTAGCAACCGATTTAAGTTGGATAAGTTTAGGTTTATGAGGGAGATAGGAAGAAAATGGTTCACAAATAGAGTGGTAGACGAGTGGAACAAGCTTAGCAACTTCGTAGTAAGTGCTGGAACGCTGGAAAGTTTTAAAAGGAGGCTAGATAGATTCATGGATGATAGAGTGGCAGTAACTCTCGATAAGAGCTGCCATGCACAGGCCAACCGGCCTATTGCAGACTCCTTATTTTCTTATGTTTCTTATGTTCTTTTCTTCTGTTCTTATATCTAGGGTGGTTCTTCTTCTTTCGTCTTATTAACTCTCCTCCTTTAGTCAATAATTTCTCTTCCCTTTCTCTTCGTCTCTCTCTCTCTCTCTCTCTCTCTCTTTTATAGGCACTTTAACGGGCAATGTTAGGTGGATTCGGCGTCCTGTGTATCGCCGGCAAGGCAGTGGTCTCGCAATACTCGTCTTGCCTGCGGTGCCCACCGTTATAGTACTGTATAATATGAACACGAAGTAGTACCTTAAGCTGTGTATTATTATATTACTGTATTAATTATGTACAGTAAAGTATTACAGAAAATGTATTAATTCTATGTAATATTTTAATGCACAGCTTAAGGTACTACTTCGTGTCCATATTATACAAGTACATCCTTCTTTCCTCACACAGCCAACCTGTGGTATGCTTTGTCTTCTGTGTTTCCATTCTCTTACGATCTGTCTTACTTCAAAATATGGGTTTCTCAGTATCTTCCTGGTGTAGATTAACATACTCTTTTTCTCCTAATTTTTGCTTTTCTCTTTTTATCCCCCCCCCACCCCCCAGGTCCTTATGTGGATCGATGACCGGTACCCAGGTGGGTATTCCTCATAAAACAGTAACTTAAGGAAAGTATTCTCTGGCACAGATATTCTCCCTATCTCTCTGCCTATACAAAGTTCAACTTACATTTTTATTCTAGTTTTCCCACTAAAGTACGAAACATACAGTATGCAGCTGCAACAAAGATCCACCTGGATATCAGTAAGGTTCTATCAGCGCTCCAGGGCTTACAAGGGTATACGGTTTGTGTGCTGTATGAAAGTGAGATGTACGAGGTGACGTTATATTTATTAACAATTACTTTATCAAATGTAAGTTACATTCGCCTGAAGAAGCTATCAGGATTAAAAACTTTCGCTCGTTCAAAAATTCCTCGACCAAACCTATATAATTAGTCAGTTTAGCTTAGGTGGGAGCAAGATCAACTCGTTTCAACGTGTTTTAAACATAATGCAATACATACATAGAGGGATGTATGGAAGAACTTAATATGACCTTAGCAATATGCAGGTGCTGCAGGAGATTAACTTACGGAAGGGTGTGCGTCCCTGGGTGTCGGTGAGGGTGGGTAGGGCGCCATGTTGCAGCAGTACGCGCACAGCTGCCAGGCTCAGGTTGGCTGCTGCGATATGCAGAGGAGCGCCCCCAGAGTACTCCAGACACGCATCGTTTATACACACTCCTGTCAGAAGGAAGGAAGGTCGCCTTATACTACATGACACTTACAACCTCTTCTAACGCATGTTCTATCATACTGTAATATACATTCACCGAGTCAGCGTACCTAAACAACAACTATAATGACGGAACAAGTCAGTAAGAGTCGAGGACTTACCCTGAGGATCCCGGAGCAGAAGGTCTAGTACGGGGGCCACGTCGAAGTAGGCAGAGTAGTGCAAGGCTGTCATGTGGGTCCATCGGCATCTCTGGTGGACGTCCGCGCCGTCCCGCAACAACTGCTTCGCCACCTGCAGTAATGAACACCACAATATTAATCTTAAATTTACTAAACATGACCATCCGCTGCACTGCCTGTAATAGCCGATAACAATTTAAATCTTTAAGTTCATCACCAATAGCTGCGTCCTCCTTCACATACATCAATAATGACCAACTGCTTCACCGTTTATTTACACCATCACACAGGTGCTACTAATGCTATCTCCCATCTTAGTATGTAAACTTAATCCGGAGACTATTGTATGTCATGTAAGATTGAATCCAATGAAATTTTATTCCTTCGATTGCTTGAATTTTAATTTTAATTCGAATTCTGACTCGTCATGCAACATGTCTGTGTTTTGGTGAAAACTCAGAACCACACCTATAATTTACGATATTTTACAACGTATCATTCTCACATCAACCCAAACTTGTTCACTCAGTAAATTTTCACTTTTTTTTTTTCAGTAATAGATTACGGGACTAGAACGTTCTGAAAAATATCTAATGATTTTCATAAGTGGGTTCAAGTCACCTTAATGGCCCCAGTATGATACCATGTCAGTTTGAGATTACATGACAACATGAAGCTGTTTTGGCGTACTTTTATCATTGCTATGCATAAAAAATAAATAATGGTTGCCCTTCGTGTAACGAGGATAGCCGGCCCAAGGGCCACCTAGGCGTGAATTTGTTTAAGGTGCAGAAGCTGTCGCCAACACAACAACCACACCCTAAGTTAACGAGCTGCATGACCCAGCTTCAAGGAACAGTCCGAGAAGACCTGACAACTCGACAACTGCACTGGCTAACCACTACCCCGGAACACATCGAGGTCCCCAATTACTGCTGGGTAGACAGAGGCAAATGGCGTAAAGAAAATTGCCCATAGTTTCACACTTCCCGAAGATCGAACCCGGGTCCGCTCGCTTGCGAGGGGATCATGCTGACCATTACACCACAGGTCACCACTTGCTATACATATACTGTACTGCAAAAACCATGCGGCCATAACCAGATAGGTGTTTCCCGCACGTTTGTTCCTTTTAAAACGGTATTGACTTATTAAATTTTTCAAGGGAGACTCGGTCGTGCATACGACATTGTGGTCTCGGAACTATCGTGATGCCTTCCTGTTTGGAGACGTGTTACCACAGGGGATGTAGGGACACCTTTCCGCTACTGTACTATGTTGTGTTTTTTACATATATGTTAAATGAGGCAGACTGGGTAGACTGAAAAACAGAGGAACACCATAGTGACAAAAAACTAACGTGACCATAGTTATGTGCAGTTAGTATTGGTCCATTCGCTTAGTCAAAAATAGACTGGTAAATTAGTTAATATTTTAGTGCAGTGTACTGTAAAAGAATTTTTCAAAATGAATGAAAATTAAAAAAAAATGCTATAAAGACTGTCTGAGGAAGTTGTAGATAAAATCATTAGTGTATCGCAGGATACACGGGATATGATCCAGACTTTCCAAATGATGCAAAAGTGGATCATAGAAAAGTGATTTTTAATTGTGTGAATTGGCAATTTAACCAAAGTGGAAAGCAAGGTAGGGTTCCATATTATGCACGACAAGTTCATCTATGAGCAACGCAAGAATGGCAAGTATCCCTGTTTAAGAGGTGACGCGAGTTGTTACACAGAGACTCTTCCGCCCACCTATAACACCAGATAAAAATGAGTCCCGAACAGTACTGTGCAAAAAGGGCCTAGTTTATTGTTTATTGTAATACGTACAGTACCACCACCTTAGAGATGTACGCCTACAGTATTGTCTACTGGCCCATACAAGGTAGCCTTTGACAGAGTCCCCCACGAAAGACTAATACGAAAAGTGGAGGCTGATGGCATTGGAGGAGATATTCTAAAATGGATTAGTGTGGTTACAGAACAGGAATCAGCTAGTAAGCATTAATCCGATTGGGGTAGCGTCACTAACGGAGTGCCCCCCAGGTTCAGTACTTGGAATATTACAATTTATTATATACACAAATGACATAGATAGAGGCGTAGACAGCAACATAAGTAAATTTGCTGACGACACTAAAATAGGGCGTGTAATTAAATCTGACGAAAACTCCGCAAAACTACAAGGAAAGTCTTAAAAAATTTTTGCCATGGTCTGCAAAATGGCAGATGAAATTTTGTTTAATGTAGAAAAAATGTAAAGTACTTAGCCTAGGAGATGTAAACAGAGACACCAGATATCAGATGAACAAAGTTGTTATAGAGAAATCCGACTGTGAGAAGGGTTTAGGGGTAATGATAAGTAGGAATCTTAAACCAAGACAACAGTGCGAATTTGCTCGAAACATACTAACAAAGTACTTGAGTTCATACAAAGCAGTGTTAGTTACAAGACTAGCGAGGTTATCCTTCAACTATATCTTGCGCTTGTGAGACCTCACTTGGATTACGCGGTTCAGTTCTGGTCACCGTACTACAGAATGGATATAGAATCTCTAGATAGCATTCAGAGGAGGATGACAAGATTAATCCTGGTCATTAGGAGTTGTGAGTACAGAGACAGATTAAAGCATCTTAATTTGCACTCTCTCGAGAGACGTAGAGTGAGGGGCGAGATGATCGAGGTGTATAAATGGAAATCAGGGTTAAAAGGTGATATAACCAGGAGCGAACTCGCAGCAATGGTTTTAAATTAGACAAATTTAGATTAAGGCGCGAGATAGGTAAATACTGGTTTGGAAATAGAGTAGTAGATTAGTGAACAACTTACCGAACTTCTTCATGAACTCGAAAACGCTGGGTAGCTTCAAATATACAGTAGGTTGGATGGATATATGAGCGATAGGGGTTGGGTTCAAACTGGGCTGCTAAGTATGAGCCAATAGGCCCGCTGCAGTTTCCTCCATTCTTATGTTCTTGTCTCTCAAGAGAATGCGAATTCAGTTTTGTTAATGTCGCCATACTCAAGATTCCTAATGCCCGGCATTGCCATCTTCTGAATGCTTTTTAGGGAATCACTATCCGTGGAGACAAAAATTGGACAGCATAATCCATAGTTCTAGGGTAACATCATTTCTCTGTTACTAACGCTCCTAGATATGAACACTATTACTTTGTTAAGCCTTATTTCGTACAAAACGTATTGCTGTCCAGGTTTTAGGTCCTTAATAATTTTTTCTCACAATCGGATTTCTCTATACCTATGCTGTTAGTTTGTTCACTTGTTTCCGATTCCTAGCCTCAGAACTTTACACTTCTCTACACCGAGTTGGATCTGCCATTTTTAAGTTCACACAAAAAAAAAATATTTTTTAGGTCTTCCTGTAATTTTCCAGACTTCATCAGATTTAATTATGTTCTATTTTTGCGCCGTCAGCAAAGTTAATTATGTTGTTGTCAACGCCTATGGTCATGTCGTTAATGTACGAGTACAGTATATAATAAACAGCAACACTCAAAATACCGAACCTTGTGGTACGCCACTCGTGACGTTAACCAAGTCGGATTTTGTACAGTATCATTTATGTTGGTTCTGTTTCCTGTTAGTTAACCTTGCCGTAAACTAATTTAGAATATTGCCTCCACTTTCCGTTTTAGTTTTTCGTAAGGTAGACCGCATCATAGTCGTTTCCATCGTCCACAGATTCGAAATCACTTCAAAATAATGATAACAGATTTGTTAGACACGAAAGCTTTCTGTAGTAAAGTCATGCTGATTCATTATTCAATCTGTGTTTTTCAAAGTGAATTAGTAACTTTTGCTTCAAGGAATTTTCTCTCAATTGATGTTAAACCGATTGAGCCAGTTTGAAAATACAAATCTCTCTCTCACTTAGAAAACTCGTAATACATTCGTTACCCTCTAGGATTTCTGTTTGTAGCTATACACGATTTTAATGACATTAAACAAGTTCGCCAAAGGCATACCGGTAGTAAGCTCTTCCTTACATTTCATAAACGGGTGTGATTTTTCTTCAATATGTTGTGTGAGGGAAGTAAACTATATATAATGAGGGATTAAACTATATATAGTGAGGGAAGTAAATTATATATAGTGAGGGAAAGAATGATGTTATGCACTATACGCTATGCAATCAAATTTTCTATAATATCGTGTCAGTGAATTGCTGGATTTCGTGTATGTAAACTCTGTATTTTTGGCACACGTTGACGGAAAATTACATGTAACTACAGTACTGCATTTTATGTGAATGCTCTATGTGCATATAAATTTGTAAGTTACCATGTTTTCTATACATAAACTACTATATTTCATGAACGGTACAAGTAAACTAAATTGGTAACAAAAGTCGTTCAGTCACGGCAACGATACCCTCAGGTGCCAAGCCTTCCTTGACTTGTATCAATGATAAGATAATATCAAGTGCGGTGTTCTTACAAGATAGCCTTTATCAGTCTACCTCCATCCTCCAGGGGGCATTAAGATGTTATACCTTAACCTGCTGTCATGGATAACAATAGTAACAGCACATGACACCAGAGAGCAAACACGGTCGAAGGAGTACACCAACAGTCAATTATTACAACATCAAAAATTTAATATTGCTGTAGAAAACCACAATAGAAGTAGTTCTTCATTTCTAACAAATTTTACGAAACGATCCTCTACAGCTTCCTAATCAAGGATACTATGTCTAAATTTTAAAAAGTTATTATATAATGTGTTACAGGATAATGTTGACCTGGATCTTATAGAAGCTATTAATGCTACGAACATATAGCGTTGCTTACTTTGCTCGAACACAGTGTAAGGTGTAAACATACAGTATAAATGTGTCAAAACAGGATCACAGACTCTTCTCAGATTTTCAGATTTGACCCGCGAGGGGGCTAGTTTATTGGGCACCCTCTTGCCTCATGTGCAAGGTGAAGCACGAAAGAATTTACAGCGCCCAACAGGGAAGCATGCAGAGTTCATTCTCGCCCTCGTGATTCATGCAATTTACGACGCTAGTGCCTGAAGGATACACAGCAATCTGATCAGTTCAAAAGAACGGCCCTGACAGGAAATGCCAAGCGACTAATA